TGAAAAGCATCTTTAAGTTGAAACTGTATTCAAGAAAATGCTTCTGCATAACTATTACATCAATTTTTTAATTCATTAATATCTCTCTAAGGTTTAAACAATAGTAACAATGCAAAATAATAACGTTCAAGTTGAGTATGGACATTGAATTAGTAATGATCAATAAGATATCTACATTTACACTTCTTTAAATATAAGAATTTACCAATAACATAGTATTCTACATTTTTAGAACATGGTATAGATTTTGTCATATCATACCACTTCGCATAATTACGAGTATACAAATGAATAGATTCAAATTCTTTAAATCTATTCGAATAATATGTATTTATTAAAGGAGGATAAAATATATCTATAGAGTTACTATCTAATAGAGTTTCAATCTCTTTGCGAGGCTTAAGTTTTCTATTTCTAACCATATTCACGTTTAACCATCTTATAGTAATCTTATAGTAATTCCATTCACGTTTAACCATCTTATAGTAATTTTACTATTATATTTTTGCATTAAGAATTGATCGTCTGAGTGTGTAATATTTAAAATATTTATTTAAAATTATATAATTTGTTTAACAAATATTATTTTAAATAATAATGTTTTCTTTATAAAATAATAAAGTTTTCTTGTTAAAATAATAATGAATATATTTGTACTAAATATAAAAAGAAATAATAAAAATACATATAATACATCTTCATCGTTCGTCGCAACATGATTCTCTCTCTTTTCCATTTTTCAGCATTTGACTCTTATAGGACATCATTCTTAGTTTACTTTTTAATTGCTAACCTCAGAGCTTTTACACACGAATCTATATTATATATTAGCAATTCAACATTACCGTGTTGCTTGATATACGTACCTCGATATCTCAATATTTCAATGTCTCAATTATTAATTATATCGGACACATTTAAAACGATATATTACAGAGCTATCGCAAGAATAAATACGATAGAAACGCGTTGCTTGATATACGTATCTCAATTATCACATTTAAGGATGATAGAGCGTTATTGATATACGACATAATATACTAATGATACACGACATAATATACTAATGAGACTTAAACTTTGCGACATATTGTAGAAAAGACTTAAATAATTGATCGGAAAGAAAAATCGACTACTGAAAATTTGTAATTTTGGCTTGTGAAATTTCAGATCTCAGGATTGTCTGTACTAATTTTTATCAGATTGGTCGCAACTGAATGCTTGTATCAACGTTTCTGTCAGAAATACAATTAGATTTTTCATTACCATTTTATTTTTCGAGATATTTTAGATAGAAGTGTGATCAGCTTCTTGGTAGCGTCGTGTACCATGAACATATCACGGATCTGTCACATCTCGGACCTGTCATTCTCGGAACTCGTCTTTATGTACTTGGCGTCGCGACGCTACCGCGTCGCTTAATAGAAAGGAATGCGAAGTATAATTTAATTTGAGAAACCAGTAAACACCAAGTAACGATTATATAATATTAAGTATAATGATTTTGATTCATCTTCCACTTTTCTCACACTAAAATGCAAACTAACGCGAGATATATCTCCAGTCATGTTTTATTTCAAATATTTATGACAGTCAGAAATCTCGCCCCGTAATCGTGTAGCATTGAGAGGGGATGGCGCACACAAACGTGGCCGCGTACGCTCCAAATTTCGGCGAAAATGAGTATCAGTAAAAAATGACAGACATATGATACGACGATCAGTCTGCTTCCCTTGCTGAAGCGAACTGTCTTGTTGGACATGCACTGTTCAACTGTGATCAAAGGTGTATTTTTTACATTATATTATACATGTGTATGTTATATTATATTATATTATAGAATTAATAAATTCTAATTTAATGAAATCCACTTTTAGCCAACGTGTACATTTGAATTTAATAAATTTATCTTATTAAAATATATATAAAAATAATGAAATAAAAGCAAAATGTGATTTGGTTAATAACAGTAGTATATGTAAATACTTCGTAAGCTTATTG